CAGAGGCTTCCGCAGTTTCTCGGGGGTTTCCTCGTCTTGTCCCTCCCTCTTCTGCATCTTTGGGTCTTTGAATTGATGCGCCCGGACTGAAGTTCTTCGTTAAAGATGAGTGGTCTGGCCGGCCCGTGTAATTCAGCCGGAGTAGTGTGTACATGATCTCTCGTTTTTTTTTTTTTTTCGTTTTTTTTTTTTTTTTTTTTTTGGGGGGGGGTATATGGGAGATATATATGTATGTGTGTTTTTTGTTTGTTTCTGTTTGTTTGCTCTCTGTGTCTCTCTTTTCGTCTCCGCTTCTGTTTGTTTGCCTCTCTCTCTCTCTCTCTCTCTCTTTCTCTCTCTCTCTCTCTCTCTCTCTCTCTCTCTCTCTCTCTCTCTCTCTCTCTCTCTCTCTCTCTCTCTCTCTCTCTCTCTCTCTCTCTCCTTCCTTCACTCATGTGTGTGTTTGTATGTCCGTATGTCAGTGTGTGTATAGGCCTATGTGTATATTGTGTACGAGTATGCGTGCCTTCGCATGTATCCAGTCCTCAAGTCAAGTCCAACTCTCACTTTTGCTTGAATCTCTCTCGAGCAAGCACCAACACAAGCATTTCTTCCCGCCCAAACGACGTCTCTGCAGGCAGGCAAAATAAATCTTGTTTTGACTTGCTTCTGTCGAGAATATCATATTGTGAGACTCTGAGACAGCTTCTCGCTTGTATTGTCCTTGGAACTGGCGGAGCTTCTCTCGCTAAAGATGTTTTTGCTTTGAGGTGCGCAAGCAGAAACTGTTGCCCTGGGAATTCCTTTGTTTGCTTGTTTGGTTCCTTGTTTGGTTGGTTTATAGTAGGAGTTCAGTTTTATGAGTGAGAGGAGAGAGAGAGAGAGAGAGAGAGAGAGAGAGAGAGAGAGAGAGAGAGAGAGAGAGAGAGAGAGAGAGAGAGAGAGAGAGAGAGAGAGAGAGAGAGAGAGAAAGAGAGACACAGGCAGACAAAAACAGAAGAAGGGAAAATGCAAGACAAAGGAGCTCGAAAAAAAAAATCCGAACAACCATGAGAGAGAGAGAGAGAGAGAGAGAGAGAGAGAGAGAGAGAGAGAGAGAGAGAGAGAGAGAGAGAGAGAGAGAGAGAGAGAGAGAAAGGCAGACATACAGACACAGACATAAACAAACAGACGCGCAGACAGAGAGCAGGAGAGAAAGAGCTGTTGTAATAAGGCCGCCAAGAAGTGCAGTGGCGCCCATATGTCACACCCAAGGAGTAATTTCAGCTCCATGAAATAGCGATCTTTATACGGAAGACACAAAGAAAGAACAATAGGCGAAAGATGAAGCAAATATTTGTTTTATTTCCATTTTTTATATGAAGGAAGCGGAAACCCTTTTACTTTTAAGAGCCTTGGGAGGGTTATTTTTTTTTCTTTTTTTTCTTTTATTCCTTTCCTTTGTCTGTTTGTTTCTGTACGTCTCTCTGTCTCTTTCTTTCATTTTCTCTCTCCATCTCTCTCACTCTCTCTCTATCCCTTTCTCTGTTTCTGTCTGTCTCTCTTTCTCTCTCTCTCTCTCTCTCTCTCTCTCTCTCTCTCTCTCTCTCTCCCTCTCTCTCTCTTTCTCTCTTTCCCTCCCTCCTTCCCTATTCCCTCCTTCTCTCTATCCCTCTTTCCCCCCATCCCACCCACCCCTCTCTCTCCCTCCCTCCACCCCCCTCCCTCTCTCCCTCCCTCCACCCCGCCCCCTCTCTCTCCCCGAAACACAAGTGGAAATAAGACCTTATTAAGAGGCGGAGATAGCAAGTGGCTTCCTTCAAGGGCGGCAAGTGGAGTCTTTATGAGGAGAAAGAGGGAGAGGGAGAGAGAGAGAGAGCCTCATATGAGATGGCGGCGTCTCTTCTCTAGGGATGAGCTGACGGGAACTTTTGTTATCAAAAGGGGAGGAAGGAAACAGGAAGAAAATATGGAAGGAGGATGAAAGATGCTTTTGAAAGGCCGACGGCTCTTTTTCTCATACAAGTATACACACGCGTTGGTACACATGCAAGAATACATACATGTATATGTGTGTATACGTATGCATATGCATATATATAATTTGTAGATATATATTTTTTCTTTCTTTCTTTTCTTTTCTTTTTTTCCCTCTTCTTGAACCTTTTGTAGGGGTGATTAAGTGGATGTTTTTTTTTCTGCACTTTTAATTTTCACTTCCCTTTACTTGTTTTCTTCTTTATTATCCTTCTTTGCTTCTTCCTCCCTCTTCCTATTCTTCCTTCTGGGTTTATTTCCTTTTCCTTCCTTGCTTTCACATCTACTTTTCCGGGTCTTAGAAATATAATTTTCTTTTCAGTAAAGTATCTTAAATTAGAGTCTTAAAAATTTGGATGCACTACACTTAAAGTTTACGTAGAATGCCAAGAACATACTTGGAATATATACTATGTTATACTTGTAAGTATAAATGGATATATGCATAGACATGTGTGTGTGTGTGTGTGTGTGTGTGTGTGTGTGTGTGTGTGTGTGTGTGTGTGTGTGTGTGTGTGTGTGTGTGTGTGTGTGTGTATGTGTGCATAGATATAGATACATACATAGAGAAATATACAGATAGATATATGTATATATATACATATACATATATTCTTTAATTATTCGTTCATATAAGTAGATTGATATGCATGACTAATAGTTTCATTCACACTATAAAATATCATCACATCGAACTTCTTTCTTTACCTTTATACCCAAACCCGTATTCCCTTATTTCTACTTATTTTCGTAGTTTCTCTTCTTTTCTTCTTTCTTTTTCCTTTTTTTCCCCTAATAGTCTTTCCCATTCACAATCTGACAGCTTGCCTCTTTGCTCGATGAAGGTGTACTCTCGGAAATCGTCTGAGCGAGAAAGCTTTTTTTTGTACAAGCGCGCGAGCACATACACACACACTTGCGCATGCACGACTCAAGACAAGCGACTATAAAAAAGGAGAGAGAGAGAGAGAGAGAGAGAGAGAGAGAGAGAGAGAGAGAGAGAGAGAGAGAGAGAGAGAGAGAGAGAGAGGGAGGATGAAACCATGAGTAATCCATTCAAGCACAACACACACGAAAGAGTTCAGTAGTTTCCAAAGACAATGTCACTTGCTATCGTACTCTAACATAGATAAATACATACTGTAATTTGAAGTGAAACAAATTCCCCCCAAAAAAGGGTAGAAATGAAACAACAGATATTCTGAAACTTTGTTACATTATGTACAATATGGGAGCATAGACTTTCGAAACAGCAATATGCATGGTCATTCTGTAACACTTATATACACAATAACATAATTTGAATAACTTTTACAGTCCTTCAGGGATTTTTTTTTTTACTATAACAATGAATGTGTTTAATCTATGAATAGAAGTAACTTTAGTGTATCTGCTAATTTTTTATAAATTTATTTATTTTTTTCACAAATTACTAGAATACAGTATCACATAGTACAAACATCTCATTCCACAGCTATGTACATTAGAAACAGGTAGAAATCTCCAGCAATGTGCAATATATGTACATGTGATTCATTTCCAAAGCAACATCCTACCTATTTAAAAATACAATTTAATATTTACAATAAATGGCAGTTGTTTTTACAGGTATCGTCTTCAGAGAGAACAATCTAGAGTAAGTCTAAAAATTAAGCATTTTCTTGCCTTCCTACAGGCTGTAAAAATGTACAAATCAAAGCAGTAGTAACTGGATAATAGAACATTCAATATTTATTAATTCGTGTATGTGTTTTTTTTATATATATATAATTCATCATATTCAATGAAGTGTTTCTAAATGCTAATAAAAAATAACAGGTATTGCAGTGTAACTATTGAGACTAACCGCAATTCAAAAAGAAGAAAAACGACCGAATGCAGAGGAACAGTTTAGCCGACAGACACGAACGAAGAGCAACTACCTCTCAAAGGAGCGAACGGCTAGAAGCATAAGTTATCTCTAAAACTTCAGGAATTGGATCGTACTAAACCTTTTTTTTTTTTCATTGTCATTTCTTGTTCATATATATATATATTTTTGTATTGTCATAACATCCGTAAGAAAATGTAGTGATGATGCTGTGCAAGATGTGTACATAGTCAGGTATATATAGAGAGATAAAGGGAGTTGTACATATTGTGCAACAGGCGAGTGGTTTCTGCTATGGTTAACTTCGGTGTTTACATGGAAAACAGTGAATTTGGGTTTCGTATGTCATGCTACAAGTTAAGAGTCATTTCACCGTTATCAGATTCTATGGCATATCTATAACATTTCCGTTGAACACGAGAGAGAACATAATCACAGAAAGACGGGAGTCAGATTCCTAAATTCCGATGATCTAATCAGCTGGATTCGGGGAGGGGAGGAGGATGTATACTAAACCAGACTCGGATTGGCAGTCGAGGGGAACGAACTCGGAAATGAAATGAGCCGCGACCGCGATGGGAAAGGGTTTGTTTTTTTATTATTATTGCGGTCGTAGATCATCTCACCTCTGTGCACACGTTACTGTGTTGGAGTTCGGGTGAATTCGGGTCCGCTACGGAGCGCGCCGCGGGTGGCTCGTGGGCGTGTCGAGGGCGGCGAGGGGGTGTGAAGAGGGCGCGTTGGCGGAGGAGAAGGTGAGGCTCCCGTTGGCGTCGAGGGCGGCGCGGGAGTACAGGTTGAGCGAGCCGAACGCCAGCGGAAGGGCGCCCGGCGTGTTCCTCCGAGCGGTGGCCCGATTCACCGTCGCGTAAATGGTCTCGGCCGATTCACTGGCACGGGCGGCGGCGGCGGCGGAGGGGCGGAGGGGGGCGGTCATGGAGGAGGTGCGGGCGTGGCGGCGGGGGCGGGACTGCTGTCGGGAGGCGGCGGCAGCGGCGGCGGCAGCGGCGATGGCGGCGGTGGTGGTGCGGGTGACGGTGCGCGGTTGGTCGGTTGTGCGAGTGACTGATGGCTGGATGGTGGCGAAGGAGGCTAATGACTGGGTGGAGGTGAGGGTGGCTAGCGGGTGCGTGCCTCATAACGTCGTGACATAGTCCACCTCGCTGTAGTCCAGGCTGTAGGCGGAGGTGACGCCGCCGTCCCGCTCCGCCGCGTCCTTGTCGGAGGAGAACAGGGACTCGGAGGCCGTGGGCAGCGTCGGAATGGGCTGGTGCTGGTGCGTCTTGTGGTCGGACGCCCGCAGTCTGGCGGCGCCGTACACCGTCACGCCCACCAGGAAGAGGATGCTCAGGGCCGAGCCCACGCCGATGTACGCCCACGGCACCGACAGGAAGAAGCAGTGGGCGATGAGCTCGTCGTGGCCCGAGGGGCAGTGGTGGATGCCGTCGCACCACAGGTCCTCGCTAATGCACACGCCCAGCTCGGGGCACTCCTGCTGGCAGCCGCGCACGATGCCCTCGGCCGACCAGTCGTACTGCCTCGCCGGCGACACCTGCAGCCAGGAGAGCGTGTGCGGCCCCAAGTCCCGCGTCGGGTCGCGCCCCGACACCTCCAGCACCAGCTTGTCCGTCGACTGCTCCACCAGGGTGCCCGAGCCCTGCCAGGCGAAGCTGAAGAGCTCAACGACGTTCTTGCTGGTCGGGTCAGGGCACAGGACGCCGACGGGCCGCAGCCGCCCCACCTTGAACACCAGCAGGCGGGTGGAGGTTGAGCAGTTCTTATCGATGTGGTCGTAGCCTCGTATTCTGAAGTATATCGACTTCTCGGCGTCGGACGTCTGCAGCAGCCACGGGTAGCTGTCGCACGGCTTGTCCTCCGTCTTGTTGGCTCTCTGGAACACAATCTGGCCGTTTGTACCTTGCAGCCTCTGTACCTTTTTACAAGAGGACTTCTTTATAAACTCGTACTGAGCCTCAAACATGAAGTCCATGTAGTCGTGATTGTCATCCATGTTGTCGACTTCAAATTTGAGGCGCACTTCTTGTGACTTCGATTCGTATTCGATGGGAATGGCCGAGTAGTCGCACGTGCAGAGTCTCGGGACTTCGATGTCCTGCCAAGGGTATTCGGACAGCACCAGCGACGCCGTCTGGCCGGAGAGGTTGTCGCAGTCGTAGCCTTTGGTGAAGTTGTTGGTGGTGGTGACGCAGGAGCGCGAGACGCTGTGGAACTTGGTGATGGTGACGCGCACCACCTCATCGCTGTGGGCCGTGAGGCGGTACTGGCACGAGAGCTTCTTGCGGCCCCACCTGCCGTAGAGCACCGACGTCCGCGGCGAGAACACGCGGCCCGTGCGCAGCGAGTAGCCGTCGCTGATGGCCTCGAAGTCGCACTCGCTCCCGTTGGTCGGCTGGTAACCCGGGCGGGTGTTGACGAACTCGTACCTGAGGATAAAGTCCATGGCGAGCGCGGCCGTCGACTCATTATAGTGCTGCACGACGGTTAGCTTAGGTCCACTGGCCACATAGCTCTCGTTCCTAGTGCAGGCCTTGACGGGCGCGGCCAGGCCGGGGCGCGACGGGAGGTATTCGCGCGCGCACATGGGCGGCGGCCGCGTCGTGCAGTGTTCCTGGATGAGCTTAGCGCGCCGCGGCGACCCGTAGGGCGTGCTCGGGTCGAAGAAGTTGCCGTCGTAGATCTGCAGCGGGTTGATGCACTCGGTGATGTTGCCGGTGTAGTGGCCCATGCGCGGCGCGATCTCGTACTTGCGGAAGTGCACCCACACCACCTCGTGCGGCTCGCCGTGGAACAGGTACACGCACGACGAGTTCTGCGGCTGCGTGTTCACCACCGACGTCACTTCGCCGCTGGCGTTGTTCGCGCCGAAGATGTGGAACGTGCACTGGCGGTTGCGCGCGAACTCCCGCGAGTCCATGCTCAGGTAGTTGACCTTCACGTTCAGTTCGAAGCCGAGCGTCCGCGGCATCAGCGTCTCCTGCGTCGGCTCGTCGAAGCGGGAGGTGCTGAACACGATCAGCATGTCGGGCCCCGTCGAGGTGATGGGCGGGAGCGCGCCCGAGCCGCACACCTTCAGGAACAGCGGCGCGTCCGTCGAGTTCCCGTCGTACACCAGCAGGTGGTCGTGCACCAGGTCGCACGCGCTCCAGATCTGCGATGGAAAGGCTTTTCGTCAACATGCTGGTAGAAATACACACAAAAGAGTAGAGGCGAAAACAAAAATAGTTGCTGATTTAAGAAAAAAATCCCCCCTCCAAGAAAAGAGAAGAAAGAGAAAGAAAAGAAAAAAAAATCCTAAACATCTCCCCTCAATCAATCATCCTCCCACGACCTCTCGCCAATCCTACCTGCAGTCCCTTCGAGGAGGACCCCTGGTTGGGCAGAGCGGAGCGGTCCTTGACGTTGAACTTGAGCGGGTCCTCCTGCAGGATACTGATGAGAGGGCGGGCGAAGGGGACGTAGCGAGTTTGCCTGATGAGGTAGTGGCAGGTGACGTGGCGAGGGTAGAGGCCGGGGAAGTTGGGGCTCTGAACGGCGCAGTTGTACTCGTCACAGTTCAGGAAGATGCGGTCGCAGAGGGTGCCTGCGGGAGGGAGAAAAGGGGGACGGGCTTTTAG